TGAAGGTGGTGAGGGCACAGGAACACTCGTGTCTGCCCCACCTGCAGCCTTCCTCCTCCTCCTGGGGTGATGAAGGTGGTGAGGGCACAGGAACACTCATGTCTGCCCCATGTGCAGCCTTCCTCCTCCTCCTGGGGTGATGAAGGTGGTGAGGGCACAGGAACACTCATGTCTGCCCCACATGCAGCCTTCCTCCTCCTCCTGGGGCGATGAAGGTGGTGAGGGCACAGGAACACTCATGTCTGCCCCATGTGCAGCCTTCCTCCTCCTCCTGGAGTGATGAAGGCTTGGTTCCCGTTCGCTTGGGAGCCAGCAGGAAGGAGAGTGGCTGAAATGCAGAGAAATGCAGAGGGTCGGGGTCAGAGCCGGCCAGTGCAGCTGTGGCTCTGCACCAGCGCCTTCCCCTGCAAGAAAAGCCTCTGCTGTCCGTGTGAGGAGCAGCCAGCAAACATCCCCTGGCAGTGAAGCCACAGGGCACCTAGAACCTCCTGCTGAAAATGTCTGTGTTTGTGACTTCCGGGTTTGATTACACCAACCAAATTTGTATAAAATGTATTTCATAAAAAGTTAAAGCACAAGCTCGTTATGTAGAATTGAAGTTACCAAAAAGAAAACCCTCCATCTATGGGTATATAATGAAGATATCTGTTTGATTTGCCACAAAAAAGTTTTTAAGTTTTTTAATTTTAAAAAATGTTTCCTATGGAAGTCATCAAAACGTCTGATCAGGAGAGTACTCATTTGGTAGTCATTTGATACAGGAAATAACTTTAAAATCTTTAAAAAGTTTACAATGCTCTGGTCATGGTGAAAAAATGCTTTTGTATTTGGCTGCTGTATCTTTGACAACAGTTGAGGGTTACTATAACAGTGTCCAGCTCCAAGCTGCCATTAATCACACTCCGTGATTAATGCAGCTCCACAAGAATGTTCTGCTGCTAAACCCAAGAGCAGCAGATTTCCAAATTGCCCCAATTCATCAATATGTGTGCCCTGTTCCTCTGCTGGGGAGAACGGCTCAGATAAATACAGAGAGAGCTCTTTTTAACCCCTGGGGGCTCCCAGCACTGCCCCTGTGCCCAGCTCCAGGAATGCTGCAGGGCTCCCTCCCTCTCCTCCCCTCCGGGCTGGGGCCCCAGTCTGATGTGGACATCGGTGTCTGGAGCTCCCCTCTGCGCCCTGTCTGAGTGCTCCCTCCAGTTCTGCTGAGTCCAGTTTTTGCAGAATTTCACCTGCATCCCACCTGTAATCCCTGCTGATTTTCAGGGGGCTGCACAGCAAACTTCTTGATTTGTACCTCGAGATGTTCATGCCGTGAGCACCTGTGAGTTTACTGCAATTTCCATGGCATGAAATGTTGTGTTGATGGGTTTTTCCCCTAAACTCCTAGTTCAGGTTTTTCAGTGCCATGTGGAACTATCAGAATGCTGTGAAAAATAGATGTATAGCCTCTTAACTGAGAGTGAAGTTGGATGTGTATTTTCTATAGGCTTAGGAATTCAAATGTAAAGGGATGCCAGGTATACATTTTTTTAATTAGACAAAAGAATTCCAAACCAACATTGTTTTAATGTGATGAGGTGTTTTGGAGCACTTGGGAAATGTGGCAATTTAATTTTTGGCTTTTCTCTTCAAAATAATAGACTGATTGGATTTTATACGATTTCCCATTTAATGTATGAAATTAGAATGTTCTCAGAGGAAGCAATGGGTATTACAATAGCAATCAGCATAGGCAGAAAGGTTATGATATCTATTTATTGATTTTGGAGGATTTCTAGCAGGGGTGAAGCAGGGTAATGTGCTTTGACATAAGGAAATAGGACAGCCTGGTTTTCAACTGAATGAATGTTCATGTGCCTTTTGGACCCCTGAGAGAAATGAGTCCTGCATATGCATCCAATGTTGGATTGCACTGAAACTCCACACTCCTGGCAAATAATAACTCTTGGTCAGATTGTAGGTGAGAAGAAAATGTTATTTCTCTATCACAAATGACTAATAAATCACTTTGCACAAAAAAAAAAAAAAAAAATCAGTATTTTTCAAAAAGAGCAACTGAAAGCCATCCAGAATCAAGTTGATTCTGTCTTGACAAATCATTTCTGACATGCTCATATGGTCATTTTCAGTGCACCATTTCCAGCCCTGCTCTGTCATTGCGGGTTCCTCAGTTTTGCTGCAAGCACTGGGAGTATTTCCACTGGCTTTGAATGTTTTCAGATCCTCAAATAGTGCAGATTTTCTGATGGGGAAAGGCCTTTCTGAGCTTGTCTTTGTGGGTGTGATTTTATTTGGCACTCGAACACTCAGACTCGAGATCCGAGTCAGCTTCAGCAGCTGGAGATGGGAGCTGAGGCTTGGCCCTCCTTTTTCCAGTGCCCCCCATTCCCAGAAATAAATACACAGAAATAAAATGAGATCTTCCACGAAATTGTCAGAACTGCCCATAGATCATTATTTACTGCTGATGAGACATAGGATTACTGTAAAGAATTTCTGTAAATGTTGGGGAAAGAGCTGGGGGAGAAAGATGGATATCAGTGTTGTAACTGCACAGTTGGCCTTTTCTTATTGAGATAAAACAAAATTAAATTGAAATTTCCTGTTTGCAAACAAAGATTTAAGTATGTGAGAATTAAACTGCTGCAATGCTCATCTGTAATGAGGTGATGGAATATACCTGATGACTGAATCAGAAAATTAGTTTTTTTAAACAAGGTTATGTGGCTACAGTACTGGAAATGAATAAAATCCACAGAACAGCAAATCTGTTTCTTTCAGTTACAACTGATTCAGCCTGAGGTGGGAATATATATACATATATATATATATATATATATATATATATATATATATACACACATATATATATATAAAATTATGTGTCTGATATAAAAAATCCAGATTTGCTAACACGCTCATTCGTGTTTGTGTTTTCCCAGGTGTGCAAGTTCTGCTCTCTTCAACACTTCCCTGGTCTCTCATGACAACCACTACAAACCCTGTGGTAGGACAGTGCTCAGAACTCTTTTCCATAATGGCAGAACGTGCATAAATCAGAGTTACAGACCCTCCTCCCTGCTTGATTTGCATTAATGGCACTTCTTTTCATACCTCAGTTACAAATACATAGGCAGAAATTTTAGCCACTATGAGAAGATGGGAATCCAAAGGAAACAAAGGAAATTCCCTGCTAAATAAAATATTTGCTACATTAAAAAAAAAAAGCAACTTCTGAAGTGTTGCCATTAACTTTGAAAATATCAGAGGCTAAAACAATTTTGATGAGTTTCCTTTTGTTTCCTTTAAGATTAGAAAACCATTTCACCACAAGAAGAAAACTGGTTTCCATGTGTTTAGTAGAAGTATAATGAAAAAAATGAAAACTGATTTTTCTTATGGAGAATACAATTGCCTGTTGTGGTGTATTAGTGTATTCTCACGTTCTTGCTCTCTGCAGCATCAAAGTTCTATTGGTTTTCTTTCTTTCTTCTATCAGTTCTTGTTCACAGAAACTCATGGCAGATGGACCTGAATTAATGTTTGAACTAACCTTTTTCCTTTTTCCTTTTTCCTTTTTCCTTTTTCCTTTTTCCTTTTTCCTTTTTCCTGTCTGGGGCAATAGAGATAATTTGGGATATTCTGTGCTGAGCTGTGTCCCTGCTGGAGGCAGTATGGATAATTTGGGATATTCTGTGCTGAGGTGAGCTGTGTCCGTGCTGGGGGCAGTACAGATAATTTAGGATATTCTGTGCTGATTTTTGTCCCTGCTGGGGGCAGTACAGATAATTTAGGATATTCTGTGCTGAGTTCTGTCCCTGCTGGGGGCATTACGGATAATTCAGGATATTCTGTTCTGAGCTGTGTCCATGTCTGGGGCAGTATGAACAATTTGGGATATTCTGTGCTGATTTCTGTCCCTGCTGGGGACAGTACAGGTAATTTAGGACATTCTGTGCTGAGCTGTGTCTCCTCCAGCTCCCCACCGACGCCTACCAGCCCATCATCGCGGCGCTGAGCCGGGACAGAGGCAGCTTGCCCTCGCCCAGCTCCCTGCTGGGGGACCTGCAGGACGTGTCCTTCAGCCTGCCCAACGCCTCCCTGGCAGAGCACACTGCCCTGAGCCTGGCCCAGGTGAGTGGGGCTCCTGGGAACCCTGCTTTCTCCAAACCTGGAATACCCAGTGCAGCTGGGAAAGCTTCTGCTCTTTGCAGACACTCCTGCTTCAGGGAGCAGCAGAGCTTGAGCAGAGCAGAGCTGAAATGTCTCACTGGTCCCTGGAGGTATTTTCTTTATGCCTTTGGACCCATCATGAGCAAGGAGAATGCTGAGGGGCTGGATCTCTTCTCCCAAACAACAAGAATAAGGTGAAATAGCCTCAAGTGGTGCCAGGGGAGACCTCAGCTGGATGTTAGGGAAAAAATCTTCCCTGCAAGGGTTGTCAAGCACTGGGACAGCCTGCCCAGGGAAATGGTGGAGTCACTGTCTCTGAAATGGGTTCAAGGAATTTATTTTATTCTAGCTAATCCACAGAGGGCATAAAGCAAGCAGGTGTTCTCTGCAGCCTGAGCCCAGAAAAAGGGACTGTGTCCCACTCACATAAAGTTCTAATGCAGAGTGCTGGAAAGTGATGGGCATCTAATTCCCTGGCATCTAATTCCCTGGTTTCACAGGCTGCCAAGCCATTAGTGCAGTAATCAGTTCTGGCCTCGCTGCTGGTTGTTGCCCTAAGCCTGGGGGTAATTCCAGAGTGACAAGGGAGCTTTACTCAGACAAAAAATACAAATAAACCTTCTGAAAGCGACAGGGACAGCAATTGGGAGACTGTGTTAAAAGCTTGGCATTTGCAAACCCTAAAGCTTGGATTTCACGGATCACACTTTAATATGTAGCAAAAGCCCTTCTAAAAAGCTTTAATACTTTGTTTCCTTTGTTTTCCTGAAAAATTCCTATGGGCTCTAGATTGCAGATGGAGCAGCATCCTGCCCGACACCACACCTGTTTCCCACATCACTGTTTGGGTGCTCATTCCTGCTGTCTGACGCTGCTTTGTGTGCCATGACAGTGATTTGCAGACAGGAATGAGGGACATGATTATCTCTAGCAGAGCTATTTTGGGATGTAAATACAAGAGAGGCCTGATCATACACACCGACCCTGTAATTTGCCTGATTGATGGTGAGGCTCTGAATTGTCTGCAGCTAATTCTCTGAGCGACAAGCACTGAGCATGCATGTGATTTTCTGTGGAGTTATCTCTGCCTGATTGTCTACGCCTCACAGCACCAGGAAATTTGATTTAAGTGATGTGCAATAAACTTTCTGATTACTGACACACGTTGTAATGAATCGCTTCTGACAAATCTGACTTGGGTTTTGTCATGTGGTGTCTTCCACATTTCACAGTGGAACTTCACTATATTCATTCTCTGAAGGCTTTTTATTAGAGAAGTTTAAGCTGGAAATGTGGGTTTTTTCTTTTAATTTTCAGTGCAGTTTTCTGTGCTCCCTTTTCCCCTTCCCTGTGTGCACATCACGGACTCCCCAGGATGGGGCTGGGTTTGGACAGTGCCTGTCCCAGCCTGCAGTGTCCCAGGCCAGGCTGGACAGGGAGAGGGGCTGGAAGGAGATGATTTTTAAGGTCCCTTCCAAGCCTCTATGATTCCACGGATGCCATGTGAGTTTAGACAAAACAGGAAGATAAAGAATAAGTTCATTGGGTCTCGGTCCCAGTGTTGGCTCAGCTGCAGTGCGTGCACCGTGGGAGCCACATGGAGCTGGGCTGCCACTAAAATAATTGTCACCACACAGAACTGTGGGGATGCTGCCAGGTAGAGATGGATCTGTCACTGGAATGGAAGTGGGCTTGTCATCTTTACACAAACCTGAGAAAATCCTACAGAGATCTGCCCTGGATCCTTGCCAGGAGATGTAGTGATTTATAAGTAATCGAGTTTTATTTGTCTTTTAGGCGTTTTTAAAAGCTATTGAAGATTTTCTGTTACTGTCTGACTGGATTGATGGACCAGAGGTAAGACAAATGGGCTCAGATTTGTGATTTCCTTCAGCTGCACAAATCCACACAGATGACAGCAGAACTGGTTGTCACTATTACTTCACTTACCGGGACTTTTTGGCACTGTGACTTATTTTATCATCTGTCACTGATGAAATACCTGCAGGGTGAATGCAGAAGTTTCCTGAGGTTTTTGTCTGAATCGTAAGAAAACCCAGATTTCAGAAGAAGGAGCTTTTAAAGAGAGAGAAGGAGAAGCTAAAGCACAGGGAGGTCTCATTGAAATGTAAAACACTTAAGACAAAAAGATGTCTAATTGATTTAGATCTTAGCTTCACATCATCTCTGGTATAAATGTATTTCAGATAAAATAGGTTTTCTTTGTTAACTCTGAGATTTTATGAGTCAAGTTTCAACCTGGAGGGTTAAAGTTGCTTTTATACTGAGGAGCATTTGAAAAAAGATGAAGGAAAGGCCCAGCTGTAATGTCTCAGCTTGTGTTCCAACAAAGATCTGATACCAATTTTTATATATTGTTAAAAAAACTGCACCGTTTTGGCCTCATTCTGCTGGATGCTGAGCAGAGCTGGCTTTGGCTGTTCTACAAACAGCATTCTGGGAGGTTACGCTCTGGGTGGGCTCAGTGTGTGTGACACTTTCTCCAGGGAGGGTGGGAGCACCCTGGGCTGGGCAGGGACCCAGGGGCACCCTGTGGTGTGCTCCCAGTCTCTGTGCCCCCTGTGCCATGCTCCCAGTCCCTGTGCCATGCTCCCAGTCCCTGTGCCATGCTCCCAGCCCCTGTGCCCTGCTCCCAGCCCCTGCTGAGCCCTGTCTGTGTCTGTCCCTCCCCAGAGCCCCGTGCTGCTCAGCAGCCTGATCCACACCATCGACACGGTGATGGCTCACCTGTCCCACAACCTGGAGGGGAGCTCGGAGGGGAACTCGCTGCCGCTGACCCTCGAGGGCTCCTCGGCCGTGGCAGGTGGGGCTGGCCAGAGCTGCTCTGTCCTAAACCCTTCTGTGCTTGAGCTCTCCTTCCCCAGCACGAAGCAGAACTCACCATCTCCCTCTTTGCAATGCCAACCTGAGTTTAAAGCAGAACTCACCATCTCCCTCTTTGCAATGCCAACCTGAGTTTTATTTGTCGGTGCAGCCAGGCTGGAGGTGAGGGCTCTGGCTGTGCTGGAGCTTCCGTGGAGTTATGTGGGGAGGAATTCAGAATAAATGTTATGTGTGAAGGATTGAGGAGTGCTATGCTAATAAAGGGCCTAGAGCTCATATGCAGCCCAAGGGTTTTGAAAGAGACTGAAAATGATAGAAATAGTTTTGACCTTTTGGAGAATTTTATTTTACTGCAGGTTAGCATTTTAGCAGCTTAATTTCACCTGCATCTTTGGATGCTCCAGGTGTCAGAGGTGTTTCATCTGCTCTGGCTGCCTGCTGTGCCTTGTTGAGACCCCTCTGAGGGGTGAACAAGCTAAGCAGGTTATTCCCAGGAGCATCCATCACTCTGGGTGCCCCTCACATGCTGGGATGCTCGGGTGCAGGACTGCAGTGGTGCCCGCAAATGGCAGTGCAGGTGCAGGGAGCTGCTGCTCTGCTCTGCCTGCCCTGGCTCTGAGCCTGGCTGCAGTGCAGGTCCGTGGGTGACAGCAGTGCACAGAGCACCCGGCTGCCATAGGGGAGCCGGTGCAGAGGCAGCCTTGGGAGCTGGGGATCCAGCACGCTGCCTGCAGACATCTGGGCTTAAAGAGAGGAGCTGCAGGAGCTCTCAGGGAGGGCTGGGTGGGCACTCGGGGTGTGGCAGCTGTTGATGTGCTGACTCCCCTCTGGGTTATCACACAGATTACGCTGTGGTCAAAATGCATCCCCAGACCCTGAACGTGTCCCACTATCGATTTCCATCTCGAGGGCAGAGCTACATTTCCATTCCCAGTGAAGCTTTCCATGGAAAAGGTAAGGAAAAGATTAAAGAGAGAAGTGGACTTGTGTGCACAGGGTATCCGAAAATGATTTTGCTTTGGAACAGCTTTTGGTTCACTTCATTTTTCCAGGTAACTGATTTGATCCCTGTGGGCTGCACTGAGTCTGAGCAAGCAGCAAGTGGCCCTGTCAGGCTAACGAGCAATTAGTGTGGTGGAGTTTTCATGCTAATTAGATTAATATTGAATAATAGAGCTGAGCAACAGAGACTGAAGCCATTAAATTCTGACACATTTTTACGTCAGAGAAGCCATAACTTCCTAATTATTCTTTTTAATTATCTGAACTGGTTATTTTTAAGAAATTCTAGGATGTCAGGTCAGGTATTACCTATCCCTTCATGCAAAATTGGTCCTTTTATAAAATTAAACTATAAAATGACAGGTTTAAGCAATAGCAGCTACCGGAACAGAATGAAGATATGGACTACACTCATGGCAAAAAAGCAGAACTCAGAAATCCATACCTATGCAAAAATTTTTAAAATCCCAAAAAGAAGCATGGCTAAAATCTGCACCTTTAGTCAAGACTCTAAAACAGCAATGTTAAGTTACTTATCTATGCTTTAGAGAATGAAGGAACCCATTTACAAAAGCATCTACTTCCATTCTCAAATCTTTGAAAATCTGACTTAGGTGCCCTACATTCCAGCCCACAGAATTTTCTCACCCAGAGGTTTTTCTGCAGTCGCCTCTGCAGAGGGATGCTCCATCCCTCTTTCATAAAGTGCAAAGTTAGATGAAAATAACCTGCAGTGAGAAATTCTCTGATAATTCCTGAACTGTCTGCTTTATTTGTGGTGACAGCTTTGTTTCTTTGCTGTGGCTGGAAACTGCAAGTCCTCCCAGGTTTGAAAAACTAAAATTGCAAGCCAACTTATAATGCCAAAAAGAGCATGCGAGAGGAGTTTTTTCCTTCCCCACTTCTGCAGTTCCTCACCATACAGATTTTCTTTGATTTTCCAGAGCATTGTCATGCTTTGTATCCTGAAATGATCCAGGACATTGAATGTTTTACTCTTTTCCAGCTGAAGCTCACTTCTGAGCAATTTCAGCCTTCAGGCCATGCTTCTACACTGTCCAGATGAGCTAACCTAAAAAATCTGTTATTTCACCTTAAACAGCTGACACTATAAATACTTGGAAGCCGACAAAAGGGATAGTAAAAAACATCTGTGTGGCTCGCTCTGAAAAAATACACATCTGTGTCTTCACTCAGGTGCTGGAGAGCCCAGGATCACCTGGGATGTGGGCAGCAAACCCAGAATCACCTGGGATGTGGGCAGCAAACAGAACTTTGGCCCAGAATCACCTGGGATGTGGGCAGCAAACCCAGGATCACCTGGGATGTGGGCAGCAAACAGAGCTTTGGCACTGATGGCCTGGCTTGAGCTCCCCCAGCTGCCACCAGCGCTGGGGTGGCCCTGGTGGCTCCCAGGGAGGCACTGCTGTGTCCTGCCACCCTTCCTGCTGCTGGGGGTGTTATAATTGACAAGTGATGGCTTTAGCAGCTGGTTTTGGGGTGCAGCTATGCGGGACAGGCATCCCTCTGCTTCGCTAGGGGTGTCTGTGCTGTGCAGGGTGTTCTCACCTGCAGCAGAAAATGCCTGCCACAGCAGAGGTGTGAGGGGCTGTGTGAGCCAGGGCTCTCGTGAACCAGAGCTGCAGCCCTGGAGAGAAGGGCTTGCCTCTGAGGAATAACCCTGCTCCCTCTCCGCAGCCTGGATCACCATCGTGGGCCTGCTCTACCACAACATGCATTATTTCTTCAACAACATCAACCCTGTGGACACCAGGTGAGTAGCTCAGGAGGCAGCAGCCTGCTTATTACTGTGGTGATAGCCCTTGGCACAGCCCTGCCCTGGCACAGCCCTGTCCTTATCAGCTGTGAACAAATGACAAGCCATAACCCTGCTTTGCAGAGCTCAGGGTGTGCAGTCATTAGCCAGGGAGCTATTGAAGTTTACATTACATATGTGTTTTATTTTAGGCGGCAATAACATTGATTCCATAGAGACATGTTTGTCTTTCCTTGTCTTCTCCTTCCACCCATCAGATCTGGTACTAGAATGTCGTAATTTAATCTGTCTCGTAAAAGGAAATTGCATTTTTGCTCCTAGCACATATGAAGATAAAGCTTGCACTTAAATGAAACATGTAGGAAAACATAACATCCCTCTTTAGACAAAATCTGAATCCTAATCCTGGAAACCCATAAGGTAATTTTATAACAGGAGACCAGGCAGTTCTTCAAGGACCTTCTGCTTTATGTACTGCATCAGTGGAATCATTAGCAGATAAGATAAAGTAATTGCAGAGCTGTGTCCCTCTGCAGCAGGGCTCCCCAGGGGATTTTGCAAGGCCATTCATGCAAACCATATTACCCTGTCCTCCAAGCAAGTGCATGACAAGTGGAAAGAAAGGTTTTCCTTTGACTTTCTGGGTGTGTGGCTCAGTTCCCTCTGTCAGCCTTTCCCACTGGGCTGGGTTGGTGCTGCCAGCAGGACAGGGGCAGCAGCCCAGCCCAGGGGCTGCCAGGGGTGCCTCCCTGCCCTGCCCGCTGAGCAGACCCCAGTCCAGGCTGGGCACAGCCAGCTGCCCCTCAGCCATCTCAGTGGCATTTCCAGCCAGTTCAGGCTCTGCTGCCCTGCCCTGCTCCCAGGAGAAGGGTCCAGCTCACACAGGTGCTCTAAGGCAGCTCTGCCACCACTGAGCAGTGTTTTGTACTTACATGAAGAAATTGAGGCAATAACTTACTATGTTTTCCAAAGAGGAGATCAATGCAATTTATTAAGGTAATAAGATGTAATCTCAATTTTTCAAAGGGAGGAAGATAATTAAAATAATCCTGACTCAGGTCAGAGTTTATTGAAGATGCTGCGTGTCAAAGCTCTTTATTCTAACGCAGTGTCACAGATCCTGGGGCTCTGGTGCAGCAATTGGAACAGATATGTGATCTTTGAGTGCCTTCCCTGAAGTCTGCGGGACAGGGTGACCTGGAGATCCATTCCTGCTCCCCGGAGCTGGGTTTGATTTCAGCACTCATTTTGAGAATGAAGGGTCTGCCCCGTCACAATGTTAAAAACCCAAAAAGTCACTGGAGAATAAATGTTTCCTAGATTTCTACATTTAATTCAAACTGCTTGAAATATTTGCAGTATGTAATACAAGATCATGTCCTTAAAACTGTAGATGCAGGTCTGCCCACACCGGCATCCAAAAAGGTAATAATTCAGGGAATGCTGCCTTGGCAATTTTTCCTCAGTGGAACCAAACCCCAGGTACTCAAAGATAGTTTAAAAATAAGTATGCACTTCTCTTCTGCTTGCTTTTCTTTTTTGTGCTCTACTGTTATAACTTTTTTGCTTACTTTTCAGTAGAATAATTTTTTTCTCAGAGTAGTTTGTTTTAGAAAATTTATTTTGTGTTCCTTCTACCACTGGGTTACTTAAACACCTGTAATTTGAAACCCAACCTTTTTCTTTTATTGTGGTGGAAAACCAAAACTCTTGGAGCTTTTGTGCTGTACAGACACAGAGCTATTTTCAGGCTACATAAATATCAGTTTCTAAAGGAGCAGCTTTTGGGTCTTTACCCAAAGAAACTGGAACACAGCAATGCTCCAAGCCCGTTCTGCCACTGTTCACAGCAGTTTGTGTAAATGTGCACCTGACCCCGGGGCCAAGGTGAGGAAAGGCTTGTGCAGGCACAGAAACACCAATCCCTGCTCCTGGTGAAGATCTGTCACACTTCAAATTCACCAAGGTCTCTACAGGAAAAACATGCAGATAAAGGCTGTGGAAAAGCATCCACGCTCTCAGTCTGTGTAGGAGAAGCCTCAAACTGCTGGCTAATGAGTTTAACTTTATGAGTTCTTATCTGAACTTAAATTTGTTGTGTCACAGTAGCAAATTCTGCCTGCAGATGGACAAGTTCCACTCCCATGCTGGTCTCTGGGAGCAGAAGTAATCTCTGATACTGATGGTTTTTTAAGGTCAGAACTGAGGGGTTCTGCAAAATGAGTTCTGTTCTGTGGCCCTGCCAAGGAGCTGAGTGCAGTGATTTGAACATCTGATGTGAGGTTTTTTGGGTTTTTTTCTGAAATAAAAATAAGAAACCACTGCAGACAGGTGGTGGGTGTAAGCGAGGTGGTTTTTCATTTGTTTCAAACTGGCCCTTTCCAGGTGGGCTACGTTTGGAAACCCTGGATGGTGGTTAATTCACCAGGGCTCAGATTTCTTCTGGTAAAACCCACTCATCTACCTGCCCAAGGGACACATGACAGCAGTCATTTAATCCTGCAGTTTGTTGCTGAGAGTGTAAAAAATTCTACCCTGAAACCAAATGGATATCAGTGTGAAATGTGTGAAAATGTGTGAAATGTGTGAAAATACCAAACTCATAAGTTTTACCTTAAAATAAGGGTTCTTATGCAGTGCAAAATGACCTCCCACTAGAATAAATTAATTTCCAGGTCTAATCAGCTATTTAGTCCAGTTCAGCTGTTTGTATTGTGACCTGTCTTTCCCTCTAACAAATCTAACTGGGCATCATCGATTTTTCAAGGTAAAGCTATAAATCACTTCTAAATGCATTCCTGTGTTTATTATGTGCATTTTTCCCGTGTGCCTCACACTGATTTGTCTGTTTGATCAGCCAGCTGAAAGCCCCCGCAAGTTTCCCCCTCACTTTGCTCAGGGTATTGTTTAGATCCCTCATTAGGATTCTCTCTAATTCCCTCAAACACTCTCAGCAAGGCTTGTAAAGCTTTGCGAGGAGGAGCAGGGTGAAGGAGCACCTTTGATGTCAGTCTCCAGGTGTCCAGAGCTGTTCCCTGTGCTTTACAGGATCCTCTGGGGCCAGACCTTGCTGCCCTAGAGGAACTCTTGGCTTGACTGGATCAAGGAGGTCCTGTGTGCCTTTGTTGTTATGTATGAACTAAAAACCAATTGTTGTTCTTCCTTAACGCATTTACTTCTTTCCAAGGATTGCTGAAGCTGCCGCCTACAAAGGCTACATGATCTCAGCCAGCAGTTTCCTCATCTCGATCAAGGTGGAGCCTCTGCCCCAGCTGTCCCACAACCTGTCAGGCTCTCCTCTCATCACCATCCAGCTCACCCACAGGCTGGTAAGTGAAACGGGAGCTCTGGGCTGCACAGAGGCTCCCTGCCTGCCACCAGCTCTTTGTTCTTCCCTGTGATTTCTGTGGGCATTTTTAGTAGCAATTCAGCTGCCATTTGTGGCTGCAACATTCTGTTCTGCCCACCACTGTGGCTCTCTTTCCGTGCTGCCGAGGGCTGGTGGGTGCTCGTGCCGGAGCAGTGCCCAGGGCAGCCGAGTTGGCAGCGTGCTCTGCCGTGCTGGTGCAGCCTGCACAGCCACCAAGTGCTGCTTTCCCACCAGAGTGCTCACAACACAACTCTCCTGGGGCTTTTGCTTTTGATTGTGGTCCACGCAGAGATAGCTGAGGGGGTTCAATGGTCTGAGGGCAGTGGGATGGAGGAGAGTTCGGACTCCGAGGTGCTGAGGGAGGCCATGCAGCATCTCTGACCCACTTACAGCCACCAATGCGACCGGCAAGGAAGGATTTCAATTCTTAAACATTTCCTAGAGTACATCTCTTAGATGTTCTTCTGAATATTTTATCATATTTTTCTTTCAAAGCTATTTTCAAGACAGTTTATCTTCTTTCTGTTGGGCTTTTGATAAAGCTGGAGTGAGCTCCAGAAGCACAGAGAATCCCCGAGGCCCAGGAGTGAAGTGTGTTCCTTTGCTGACAGTTTTCCAAACTGAGAACTCCTAAATGTCCCTAAAGGCCTCTTAGAGATGGGCACTTGTGAAAAGTGAATTTTGCACTCTTAGATCATTGACAAAATGCACTTTGCTGTGTTTACTCATGTTCCTCCTCGTGCTGCAGTGGTGGTGATTTACTAGCAGGCTCCTAGACAAAACTGTGTTTTTTTGTTATTTTTTGGGACGCAGATAGGAACGTTGCATTTATCAGGCATCCTTCTTTGCTTCAGCCAGCAGAGCCCCTGAGAACAGGGATGATCCTGGCTGATTGCAACCTCTGTGGCAGATAAGGTGGGCTGGGAGCTCGGGCTGCACCCAGACCTGTGTGTGCTGCAGGATTTGTGTCAGGGTAAGGTGGGCTGGGAGCTCGGGCTGCACCCAGACCTGTGTGTGCTGTAGGATTTGTGTCAGGAGAGCACTGGTTCCTCTCAGAGAGCTTCTCTGGCTGATGAGCAATGCAATCACAATGTACATTGAATTTGACAGCAGGACTGCTTGCCTCTGACATCTCTAGCTTTCAGAGTGTAATTGCTCCTTTGGCTTTTAATTAATGGTTAAGTTTAACACCAAGGAAAGGGTGAACAGATGACTGGGCCAGACCTTTCTCTTGTACACTGCTGTGCTTCCCCTGAGTCCCATGGCATCACTCTGGACAATACACATTTAGACAACTGTAAATTTGCTTAGGGAAATTACTTCAGCAAGCTTACAGAAGTAAATTCAAGTGAATTTACTCCAGCAGGCTGGGAGGTGGCTCCGTGCCCCTGGAAGCTTTCAGCTGCCAGCAGCCCAGATCCTTTCTGCTATCACTTCACTCTGAAGTGCTTTCCTTTGGTTGAGTAGGGCTCCTCTGGAATAACAGCAGAATTTAAAATGTAAAAGAAATTCTGGCTGCAAGATCACTGTGTTAAAGTGGGTGCTTTAAAGAGTAACAGTCAAGTTATTTATCTAACTTTGATTGAATAATATATTTAAACTGAGAGCATAAAAACTGGCTTAGAAACCTGTTTTATCCATTTAAATACTGCAGTAATGGGAGAAACATTTGAAGTGGATAACATTTCATTCTTATAGCTGTTTGTTTGTTCCACATAATTTTCTCAGCTTAGCAGAGGAAAGTGAAATAAGAAAAAGTAAAAAATACCAAGTCCAAAAAATAGTTTTTCTTTATTAAAGTTTGAGTCTGACTTCTTAATTCCTCTTCTTCTTCTAATGTGCGTAGGAAAAATGCCAATTACTGAGCAACAGAAAACAAAAGGAAGTTGGAATAAACCAAGTCTATTTTAGGAAATAGTTACAAAGAGAATGCCTGTGAACTGAGTATCACCTCTTGCAGCAAAACTTCACAGAGCATTTATCATCCCACAGTTTAATCCCGGTGAGTTAAATCTCCAGGCAGGGGCTTCTCTGAAATGTCTGCAGTTCTCACATAGCTCTGAGGAGCTGGTGAGGTGAGTAAATGTCCCTCTTTTTTAAAACACAAGGAATTCCAAACTGGGACTAATGTCTAATTAATTAGGGAAGGATACAGGGAATATCTCCCAGGGATGTGTCAGTGCTTCCCTTTGCAGGGAGCAGCGTGGGGCAGAGTTGGGGCTGTGGGGCTGAGAAGTCACCTCAGAGCTCATAAAACCTTCTTAATTCAGGGTTAATTCAGGTTAATTCATGGACCAGGGGGAGCAGACTGGGCTCTGCCAGGGCTGTTGGCTGTAATTGCAGCACAGTCTCTGTGAACTCTGAGGAGATTTCATTTCTCTTTTTCACCAGCAAAACTGAATTAAGTGCCTGAATTAAGTGCTCTAAGAGACAGTTTAATACACCGACTTGCAATGGTCAATTGTTATTCAGGAACACTTCAGGGACAGACAGGCATTTTTTGGACAGATTTAAAATTGGTGATGTTCTGCTCCTCACCAACTCGGATGAACTTCTGTGTCCAGCAGAACAGAGCCCAGAAATTCACAGAAATCCACTAACACCTCCGGGTGTGGGGAGGATGTGGAGACTGAGGCTGCTTTGAGGCTGGAGACAGCTCAGTCTTGACCTGTCCAGATGTTTTGTAGTGAGGCAACAGTACATTTTGTAAAATGATTATCTGAAAAAGTCCTGTTTCCAGCAAGATGTTTCTCATAGCAGGAACAACTAGAGAAAAACTAACATTTCACTGCTGTGATCCAAGAAATTACAGCACAGGGTAGAAATTTAGAAGAGATGAATGTCAAGACTGAAATGCAGCACAGTGTGCTCTGGAAAAAGTCAGAAGAGGCATCAGAGGAGGAAATTGTGTCAAACTGCACCAGTATTTTGTAAAACCCATATGGCTGCAAAGCAGAGGCTACATAACCTCTGCTACATAACCCTGGAGTTTTGCCCATGGTGAAGTTACAGTTTGGCATTCCTGGGGACAAGGCAGCTGTAAATTTGTGTGTTTCAGGCACCTTTCAGCTGGTAGGACCAGCAGCAGGGTGTAAATCCAGGCGTGTTTGGTACAAAGGGGGCCCAGAACTGCCAGGGACAGGAGGGCAGCAGTCACAGCCTGGGTGTGAACTCTGTGGATCCCTCGCTCCTGACTGGCACTCCAGAGAAAATTACCTCACATCTGGAAGAAAACTTCTTGTACATGAGTTTCAGCCACTTGGAGTTTTCTCCAGGGCTTTATTTTCTTGTTGCTCTTTGCAGAAGAGGAACATGTGCAGCTGCAGTTCTGGAGAGTTATGAGCTCCTGGCTGTTGCACCCTCTGTGAGAATCCTCTCATGAAGATTAGATGCAAATTGGGGATGCTTAATGCAGCTGCTTTTCCCTCAAACATAGTTTGGGGCAGTGCCACTTTAAAGAATTGTTTGGTTCTGGGAAAAGAAAGGAATGTTTTACTAAGATACTGCAAGTCAGGACTAATTTAGCATCGTTCCCTCTCAGTCCTGTGCTCAGCATGGTCCATTTTAGCAAACACAGTGCCTGGGGAACTGGGAGCTGTTCATCTTTCCTGCCATGTTCCTGCACTGAATCACTGAGCAGCTGCTCCTCTCCTCGTTTGTGAGGAGCTGCCTCTGCTCTCCACTCTGTGCAGTGAGTGCTTCCCATCAGGAGCCTGCTGTGACCCTTCCTGCACCAGTGGGGCTTCAGCAGCTTCTCCTCTGGGTTACCAGCTCCTTCCTTCCTTCAGCAGCTTCTCCTCTCCATTATCATCAGCCCCTTCCTTCAGCAGCTGCTGCTCCTGGTGCCCTCTCCTGCCCTGTTCCTGGGTCTCCTGGTGCTCTCTCCTGCTCCTGGCTGTCCTGCAGCAGAGGCAGGAGCACCTCTGCATTCCCGGGGATGCTGCTGTGCAGGCACCACAGACCCTCTGCACAAACTCAGCCTCATTCACAAACCTGCTCCTCACTTCTCCCTTCTCACTGAGCTTTCAATGAGGCCCTGGGCTTCAGCCTGAAAACTCACCCAAACCTCATCCTTTTCTTTCCTTTTCCTGGCCATACCACACCCCGAGGTTTGTTTATCATTACTGATAAGAAAATAAAATTAGGGAAGAACCCATTCCCATTGGTACACAAATATTAGTGCTGCCATGAGGGAGGCAAATCAATGTGGAGCCAATTAATTTTTATGGCAAGTTAAGTGTTGGCTAATTTATATATTGATTGAGGAAAAACAATAAATCTTGCCCACATCTGCAGAACAAAGGTATAATTATTCAGTGGATGGACTTTGCAATTGAAACTGTGACTCTTGCAGAATGTACCACTATTAAGCACAAAGAAAAAATAATAATCAAGCTCATGATTTTAAAATCAATGCAACGTTTCGCACTTTGTTACACAAGTTAAATCCTTGCTGTAAGGAATACAGGAACTTCACTGAGTCCACATGAAAAGTGAACATGGTTGCAGCTCCCTTTCTTCTTTCTGGACAACTTTAAAGCCCCAGCAGCCATGACGATAAAATGCAGCGCCTCTTAAGAATACAGCAAGAGTTTTCTTTTGATAATGTTATTAACAGAAACATCCCAGAACTTTTTCTCATGGGACTCCATTCTAACAGCCTAGAAAGTTGAACTAACAAAAAATACAGATTTTTGTCAAGCACATTGACAGCTCCAAGGACCAGGATTGCTTTGTGATAAGCTGTAATTCATAGAAGGTTTAATTTCCATGTCAGAACAGGTTCAAACCTTTGGAGACCCAAAACTTTGCCTGTGTTATCACTCATTCATCATAAAACGAGTTCTCAGTATTTCTTTGTAAGAGAAATAGCAGGATATGGGTAGTGACAGGAAATGAATTAATTAGTCTGTATTTCTGGGTCATAGAATATTGAAGTTTTTGCATGGGGAGCTCCCC